GGAAGCTTCGTGCAGTCCACTGATGGACGTCTTCTCATTCGATACACTTCATTGAGTAGCTTCTCCACGTACCACCTATCTACGGTAGTCTCTTCGTAGAACTTCACATTTTCATGCCGATATTCACTAATCACACCCGTCGTCAAGTCTAATAGTCTATAGCCTTTTGTCTGCGTAGCATATCCGACCATCAGACTAGGTGCACCTTTCACCGACAGCTTGTCCTTACGATAGGCCTTGTCAACGAACTTAACAGCGAGGCATCCAAAGGGTTTAAGGTGGCGTACACTCGGTTTTGATCCAAACATCTTTTCATGAGGTGTCACCTTTTCTGCATTGCCCTTGGAACTGGTTCTGTTGATAGTCTCGATTACGTATCTAGCCGCTTCTCCCCACAGCATTCCGGGAAGACCACAGCTAAACAACACTGAGCGAACTTTATCCATCAGGGCACCATGTGCTTTCTCAATCAAGCATACCTCCTCGGGCGAATGTGGGTGAGAGAAAATTTGTATAGTCTCGCCAGCACACATTTCTTTCATTGCTTGGTTCAAGAACTCCGTGCCTTGATCAGAATGAAACGTCTTCACGACAGTCTGATGTTTGGCACGTACCATATCTCGGAAGCACTTTAAATTGTTCACAGTTTCCTCCTTAGTTTTCTGCCCGTATACCCACTGATATCTGGAGCCTTCATCCAATAGATGCAAATACTGTAATGGGTCACCATTTACATAAGTAGGTAGATTGATATACAAAAGTAGGTACAAAGCACGCGAGTAGCGCGTGCTGTATTGTCTCTCTCTGATTGGTTGAAAGGTCAGGTATTCAGCCAATCAAGAGCCGACTTGCATTTGAGTGGTTCTCAAGGGGCCAGGGGTTCCGCCCTGGACCAAATTTAAATCAGAGTTTATTTTACCGGAGATTGAATCTTGTCGTATTAAGTACGAGCTTCCTCATCGCTACGTGTAAGCTAGTAACGGTAAATACCTGGCCCGTTACACAATTAGTCCACAAGGATGCTGCCGAGGAAGGCCATTGAGCAAGCTAAAACCATCAACGACGCAGCGGTAGTGTAAAGATCGACAATATATTGCAATATCTAGCTCGAAGATTGACAAGATTGCAATCATTGATTGTCCTGAAGCTAAGCCGTCAATCAATAAACAATCTTTATTTACACACCTCTGCTGTAGATCAGTGCTGCAGATATGTATTGCAACCACTCAGGTTAGATTGCAAAATTTAGCTTTCATACAATCTCTCGTATATTTTGCAATACATTACCGGCGTATAAACCAATCGATACGCCCCAGGGAACCCGATAATATCATTTTTTACTCATTTCCGCGAAAGCGAAAAATACGTACCGTTCGCAGTTGTGCACAGAAAGCAAATAAATAATGGGAGATGACATGGCGGAAAAATACATTATCAGCCTAGACACAGGCATCAACTGTAGTCACGTCCCAATACAAACTGTTGACCTTAAGAAACAAGATCATCTCGAGTACCAGAGGGGTAAGGCGGTTCCTCTCGTAGCGTAGAACCATACGGGCAACACTAAACAGGCGCTCAACGATGTTCGACGTAGGTGGAATCGCATGGAGCAAGATGTACGCACTGGGTTCGGCTTCCACCTTCCGCCGCTTGAGGATTCTGTCGGCAAAACCAAGTTTCGCCGCCTCCTCTTCTTCGCAGGTGGCAGTTGTCGAGCGGCGAAGAAACAGCTGGAGGGCCGAGCGCTCGGCACGGCTAAGCCGCTTCGCTTGGCCCCCGTGAACCTTGACTACCCCCAACTCGAAATCGGGGGAGTGAACAATATCCGAGTTCGGTGCTACAACATAATACCAAATAAGGCTATTCGAAACAAAACAAAAAGGAGACATTAAAATAAAACGTACCGAGGTAGTGGCTTAAAGAAGGCTTGATCTCGAGCAGTCCGTTGAAAAGGTCACGAGCGTCGAGCAGGTTGAGGTCTATCGACTGTAATCTGCCATCTCGACCAGGAGCGCTTTTAATCTGCGGTTGGCTGCCGGTGACGGCATCACCTCCGCCAGCTCGTCGTCATCCGCACTTATATACTCACGAAGAGCCAGGTAGCGATCCAGCATCGCGAATGTTGACCCCCATCGCGTCTCGTTGCGAAGTTTCGGACGAAGTGAAGTTT